CTTCGGGTTCTTGAACTTGTTCAGCCTACTGGCTAATTCAAGAATTATTATCTTGAACTTGGACATGCTCTGATACCATGTTAAGATTTGGAGAAAAAAGAGTTTCTTGGAGAGCATTCCCCTCACTCTGTACTTTAATATTTATAGAGATAGATTAGTTACAAGTTAGTCTCACAAGCAATATGGGATCAAACCAATGCTAAACTAATACTCTCTTCTCACAAACACTTTAGGATGTGGATATTTATCAAGAAAGACACTGCGTTCAAGCAATGACTTTCAGCATCAATTGTTAATCAGTGACCACCATTAAGGCCTGCTTTCAAGCTGAGAGCATTACAGTGTATTGGCAGTGATTTACATCAGGGTCTGTTAGATGCAAGCGCAGCAGAATACTGCCAAGTTTAAGTTACTGATGGCTGTTCACTAGACCTGACTGCTCATGATTGCACTAGCCTTGTTATGGCCAAAGAAAGTGCAAGAAGACTCCTATTGCTAGCAGAACAACCAGATGACCAAGAAAGTCACCATGCATTTCCATTGTAGAGCACATACTTTGATAATTTTTGATAATCTTGAGACAAAATATAAGAAAATAAAATAATCAATACTCATGTATTAAATTGATGACTTGTTCTGCTCAGTGGGAAGGCACTGTTCCTAGTAAGAAATTAAGAATTATGCCCACATAAAAAGTGAGCACTATATGATGTTAAAAAAACATTTGTTAAATTGAATATTGCACTCATGATGAGAAGTTGAATCCAAACGCAACATTTAATGTTTAAAAAAGTGACATAATTTGCATAGAGTATAAATAGCTTTGACACTCTTTTTAAAAGGTTTCAGTTGTTTTCTGCTAGTTTAACTGTTAGAAACTTATAAATTTATAAACTGTTCTTTGTATCAATAAATCATTAATGCATAAACTGTTCTCTGTATCGAGAAATTTTCTATAATTATGTTCATTCACCATCTAATTTTAGACGCATAAGGTGCATGATTCATGCTAATTTGAGGCAGTCAAGGTGCATGGTGCTTAATTAGTAGTTAAACCAAGTATTGAACTATTTGAATATAGCATGTTTTGGAGTTGTCAAAGGTATCAGAATGAGAGTTAGGTTTATAATGGATAGGGACAATGGCAGATAGATGGTAAATAGTTTGAACGTAAGATTATTGCTCGTTTTGGGTCATGTGAGTTCCAAGTCTGTTAGTCAGTGCATCACGATTGTTGTCCTTTGAAGCTAGCAAACTTTTGTTCTTCTGGACGTAGAAAATCAACAAGTAGAAGCTTTTGTATTATTACTCCATCTGATTCTTCGAGCTGTAAGCTAAAGAGAGCATAGAGAGTCTTTCAAACTCAAATGTATAGGAGAGTATGTTCCTCCAAAAGAAGGGTTAAGATGGGAATCTTTGTGAGTTTGTAAATGGTGCATCACATCATCTTGGTACAGTGTAATAAAGTTCTCGGGTTTTGATTGAATGGCCCAATTCCAAAGAATGTAGTTGTGGGGCTTCATGAAAAGCGGTTTGACTTTCTTGCTGATAAAACCAGTCTTAAATGTAGCCACCATCAATGCATAAAGTAGTGCTTCAGATAATATTCATCAGTGCATTCTTGCTACTTTTCATTTGGACATAGGTTAATCTCGACTGAACTGCATAAATTGTAAAAGATCTTGTTGGTGCTGGTTTCTTTGTGCTTTGTTTGATTTTTTGCTGAATTTTCTGTATATTTTTCAGTTATCTTTTGTGGAAGTTTTGCTATAGCAAGCTAATATCAGAGATTGGGTATTTGGTTGAAAATATTTTTAGATAGCTTGCAGAAGTAAGGTGCAGAACTTCGATGGGAGGATTACATTAGTCTAAAAAAATGCATGCTCTCTTTATTCAAAAAAGGTTTATCATATGTTCTGTCTAAAAAGGGCTAGTTGCTGAAATTCATGTTCGAACAAGAGAATAAAGAGCTTGAGGCCAAACGTTTGTAGCGTTATACATGTTTCTTTGGACAATGAGGTATTGCAGAGGTTGCACATGAAGAACCTATGATTATTTATGTTTAAAATTTGAGGGCTTGTGCATGACAAAGTCTTTTACTAACAAGAAAGACAAATCCCTTAGCTAATGAATTCTCTTCACATTCACATACACCAAAGTGCACCTATTAAGGACCACTCTTTTTAAGGGAGTTTTTTAGAATTACTTGAACAAGTTGAACAAAATGCTCATGTATTTGAGAAATATTAACGCGATATTGAAGAAGATAATAAACCCTTACATTATTTTGTTTGTCGCCTCCTTTTATGAAATTTTATCAATGACATACTCTATATATTAGAGGTACACTTTCTGTAGAAGATGTTTAATCAACTTTATATTCTAGAAAATTAACTCAGAAAGGGTCCGATGTTGGGAGCAATAATGGATCATGCTTTTGCACATTCATCTGGAAAGGAGTTTAGTGAGTACTGGATAGAGGAAAAGCTAGAGATATATGTATACCAAACACAAGCATGAACAGTATGTCGCTGGTCATGAAATGGAAAGTTAGTAGTTGGTAAAGCTGAGAATTGAAGATGCTGAGGGAAAAAATTTGGAATAACAATTAGATAACATTCTATGCATTATGGTTTGAGATGCTCCGCGATTATTGTTTGTGATGCTCCGCGATATGACAAGTATATTCTTAATTCAAGTTTCCACCACATTTGTTCATGTAGTTATTAGAAAACAGATACTTGCATAGCTGTGATACATGCAGATAATGCAGATCCAGTAGTTGTAAAGCGAAGCCATGGAGATTAGCCCCCAACAAATTGGGCACTATGAAATGAAAAAGCCATTAATTATCCAGATGCAACATTAATATCATCTTGAAGCTAAGACATGGTTTTTGCAATTCAAAATCTTTGAATCAATATACTCTTGACCAGCCTTTTTTTTTATTTACCAAAACCAGTTGGAGAAAATAGACAAATTGTCTTAAACCCATTGGAGGGAAATGAGTTTGAAGAATTATTATGCAAGCATGAGTTTGTTTTATTGTTATCCTTTTCCAGAAAAACAGTGAAGAATTGGTGGAATGGTATAACCAAAATATGTCTTTGACTATACCATCATTGTGTGGAGATGCCCTCATAATAAAATCCTATATGATCATATGGTCAGCTTTGTATCGGATGATTGAGCGAAAATCATTTTTTCTTGCTGCAACTTATTCTAGAAATTTTGCAGGTTCTATCTTTTCTTTAGATTGGAAGATAACATTAGCTTGTGCATGTTGGAAAATTGTATGCAACTGTGGTGGAAGCATGCATCATGAAGTTTAATCTAAATTAAACAAAATTGGAAGAATATGAAAAGTTTTCTAATCCCCCACGAAGTTTGTCCCAAGATCTTCAGATAATTATCTTTCTCAAGAGAAAAAGCCTCTAATTGAATCCATTCGTCATGGAAAGGATGCAATACAAAACGGAGATAGGACCTCTAAATCTTATTTTCTTAATTTTTTTTCTATATTTTTTTATTGTCTCTCCATATGACCACACATGCCTTTGTTATATAGACTTAGGTCATCCATCATGTTAACAGTTTTAATTGATGTGAAACTCTTTCAAAAAGTCAAATCTATAACAATTATAGATAAAGATAGGTATTTTATTGCAGCTAGACCTCTCTTACTGACATTGGTGATTGGTGAAACTAATTGGGTTCCATATCGAGAGCCAATTACTAATCAAATTAATTCTTAATTAAACTTGATTATTAATTTTAATGTAACAATCAATTCTCTATCCGACCAACTATTCATAAGCACTCTTACACAATGTGGTATTAAAATATTTAATAGTGTTATTTTCTTACATCCAGTCTCTTTTAGTATTAATTTATTTTTCTTTTAGACAAATTAATGATTGGGACAATTCACCCATTTGCTTGTCTAAAAGTCGCAATCTCCATAGACAAAAATCATTTTGAAAATATTAATAATAGTATAATAACTTAATTTTGAAAAACTTCTCCAAAACAACCAATCAACAATGTTTTATAACTTAATAGAATTGCATAATAAATTATTCTTATCATAATGATCATTATCGGATCCGATCTAGACCTCCATCAACTCCCTAAATGAAATATAGTAATCCGAAGTTTTAGGTTTTGTAGCACTTGCCACGTATAAGTTAACCATCACATCAAACATACTCAATTATCAAATCGAAAATGGCAATATCCTCAAGTCTAAGGGACCACATAACAATTGATCTCTATCCCTTAGGTGACCTATCCTAAAGAATCTAAATGTGGTCTAGCACTGCACACATCACAATTCGTGCTCATGACATACACCGAGAGTGTCCAATCCCAGTAACTGAGACCCACCACTACATTTCTTATGTCATCATCATGCATGATAACTTGTAATAACATAGTTATCCCGTACTATTTATATGTTAAGTATAGTTCTAAGAAATCTCTAAATTAGATTATATCTCCAAGCAAGTGACCTATCAAAGTGCATGATCTAACAAAATAATTTCTAGGGATAACATAACAGTTATGTATATAGTACCCAAATAAAATGTGCAACACATAAAATCTTCATTGATATTCATTAATATTACATAAATTGTATTGGATGTGTATGAGCATGCTATTCTACTCTAACAGTGCAATTCTTATCAGATAAATGTTATGCATTTCAGAACATGTTACAGTTGCTGTACATGGGCATAAATGTGCGTTAGGCCACTGCTTACTTAGTGCTCCTTATGTGTGCACGGGAGTTTTTATTTTACGTAGTTCTGTCTCCATTTTTGGAATTTATGATTTTAGGGGTCAGTATGTAGTCTTTTTGGTTCACTGTACTAATCACATAGGTCATCTCTTACTTGATTTCATACACGCCTTTTGCTTTGGGCTAAAATGCTTCAGGAATTGCTGGGCGCTGGAGTCGTATAATAGTTTGTGAACTTATTATCCATGGCTTCTTGCAGTACTTTTTGAAGACAGGAACATGCAAATTTGGAGCAACATGCAAATATCATCATCCACGAGATAGACATGATGTACGACCTGCTTCATTGAACATTCTTGGGTTGCCAATGCGACAGGTAACGCTTCTTTTACTCTATTGCTTCCATTTCAAGGTCTTGATGTGCTCTCAACCTCTTATGTACTCTCAACCATTTACATGTTAGCTTCCTTCCAGCCCTCTTGAGCTACATTTGGGGTTTTGCAGTATTCACTTTTATTCTTGTTGCACAGGATGAAAAGTCATGTCCATATTACATGAGAACTGGATCTTGCAAATTCGGATTTGCCTGCAAATTCAACCATCCACAGCCTGCCACACTTGGACCTGTGTTTCCTGTGACACCACCATCTGCCTATGGTCCAACGGGATCTTCTGTTGCACCTCCATCAAGTCTTCCCGTAATTGGAGGTCTTTCAGCATGGCCTTCAGCACGACCTTACTTAACTAGTCCAAGAATGCAGGGCCTTCCAGCTTATATGCCTGTTGTTCTTCCATCCTCACAGGGTGCTATGTCGATGCAGCAGGGTTGGACCGCTTACACGGTCAGCTACTATTCTTTTGTTTTTAAGCACAATCCATGCAAGTGCATTATAATTATCGATATTGACCAATGCTTTGTGCACCAGTGAAGCTTTCCATGGACATCCATGATATCGTTTTCTATCAATAATAATGGTTGATAGTCTGTGCAAGCACGTTATAGTTGCATCATGATGATCTACTTAGAATTATACTTGGAAAACTGCTACAGATTATTAGTTCTTCTGCTTACCATACTTTATTATCAAATGTCTCCTTCAGGTGAAGTGCCTACAAATTCAGCATGTCAATATGATTTCTCCTACCATAGAATCTTTATTTCATTTGGATTTTTGCTAAAAGGCATTAAGCTTGTTTATTTATATACACACACACGAGTGCATGCGAACACATTTTTTTGCAAATGTCCATTGTCATTTGGCATTAATTCTTTCGGCAATGAGTCTGTTAAATTCAGGGTTTGTTCCATCAATACCGCTGGATTTTAAAAATATATACCTTACTATTGCTGTAGCATTTTATTAGTTTCTGCATGTCATTAACTGTTATTAACTTATTGTTACTTTGTGGGGACATGGCAGTGGTCGTTCCATGAGAAGATGGATACATATTTAGTTCCGGGTCTTTCAGATAGGATATAATATACTTCAAAATGAAGATAACTATCAATGCAATTATGGACAATATTGGATGTAGAAACCAGAAAGGATAACAAATGAATCCCAATGAAGAAAAGATAGGTGAAGGAGGTAAAGGAGAATCTGAATGCAAGAGATTGGTAAGGTGGGGGCATGCTAATTCTGTCACATACACTAATTAATATATTTAGCTATTAATGAACTGCAAGTTCTCTCGTGCAGTCATCTCTTCCATTTGGGAAATCTGATGAGGAACACAAACTTTTTCCGGGAAAGGTTAAATCTTTATCAAATATGTGTCAGCATACAGAAGTTACATTACAAATTGCAGATATTACTTAGCAGCTAGAGGTAAATTATGTATGGCTCATCCGAACCCCACTTTTCTAGTGCCAACTGGATGGTTCACCAGCATATCTATTTTCAGGTGCTCAAATCATGATTAATTCTGAGTAGTAAACTGAAGACAAGTTTTTTTGTTGGTAGCTACCAAGTGATTCACTATTTGAGAGTGGCATAGGCATCAGAACATCAAGCTCCAAAACAGTGATGTTAAAATACAAGTTTCAATTGGCCTTCTGACATAGTTGAGTATGTTTTGATTCTTGATTGCCTAACGAGCTTTCAACAATGAGATCAACTGGCCTAATGGATTTTTTAATCTAAGATAAATGCATTGGATCCTTAGGATGATGAGGGTGTAAAAAGATGCATTGTGGAGTGCAACTTGATTACCACATCTCTGATCCTCCTCTAGGCACCATTTTGGGCTGAGGGCTGCTACATTACATGACCAGGGCATATTGCAGTGTGCTGTGTGCACGTAATGAGTGTGTCCTTCCGAGGCTATTTAGCCCAAGACATGCCCTTCTCAGTGCATGGAGTTGTATGCACTCTCCTCTTCTAGGTCAAATTTCTTGCTCCAAAAGAACGTTTTATTTTAGGGTTTGTGGGGTATGTGCGGGTGTGGGTGCAGGTGCGTGCGTGTGCGCATACTCTATCTTCCTGTAGGCACCCGCTCATGCGGAAGGCTGCTACATGACCATGTCATATTGCAGTGTGGTCACAATGAGTATGTCATTCCAATGCTATTTAGTACTCAATCATGCTCCTCATAGTGGACAGAGTTGTATAAAGTCTCCTATTCTAGCTTAAATTTTGTGCATCATGAGAAATTTTTCTTTTAGGGTTTTGGGTTTATGTGCATGTGTGTGCGTGTACTCTATTTTCGTCTAGGCACCCGCTTGTGCTGAGGGCTGCTACATGCCCATGGCATATTGCAATATGATCATAATGAGTGTTTATTCCAATGCTATTTAGCACTCAAATTATGATCTTCAGTGGCATGGAGTTGTATGAAGTCTCCTCTTCTAAGTCAAATTCTGTGCATCATGAGAAAAATTTCTTTAAGGATTGATGGGGTTTGTGGTTGGGTGGGATTGGGGGGCTCAAGCTAACGCTTCTTAAATATCAGAGTAGGCATCTTCTACCATTATTGTACTAGTTTCTTGAATACTCTCATTTTAAAGAATACTGCGCTACCAGCCTATTTGCCACTCAACAGGCTATCAAATGCACCTTCTCTATTGCTCTCTGGAATATTTAATCCGCCCCACTTCCATTGGTATGTTGCAGTACCAATTTGCTGTAGAATGTGGGGTTCTACAAACAGAAATGACTATGAAGATCAGAAAACAACAAATCATGTAGAACACAATCACACAAATAAATAGACAATAGGAAAGCACAACGCCCCAAGTTATCATGTGATTCAACACTAAGATCTACATCCATGAAGGAAGGAGAGATCCACTATACTAAAGGTGGTTAGAAAAAAGGTTCAGCAACTACAAAACGCTAATCCTCAAATCTTGAAAGAGATGGATCTCTAATGACATTATTCTAAACCGAAACTCCGAGAGAGCATCAAGGAATCTTAAACGTACCCCTGATAACAGTTAAGTCATGAAGCTGTGTACATCTAGATGTACGTGTATTGGACAAATAAATCCTGCCGTGCTATTGTTATTTATATGCCTCCTCAACTTCTTGTCTGTTGGTGAATAGTGTTGAGATATCCTTGCTTTTTAGTGGCTTGACTGAAGCAGTCTAGGCAGTTATACTAAGGTCCATTGTTTGTGCTAAAGTTTGTGCTAACGAACAATAAGATGTGGTTTTGTTCAACTTTGAAGGCCATGCCCGCAACCCTTGGATGAATGCAGAAAATGCTAACAAGTCACGGAGTCTGATATGCTGGAACCTTAGTAAAGATGAAATGGACTATCTGTCTGATGTAGCAAAACACCAGTCATTTTTGTAAAAAATATGTTTATTCCCTGGCCTATGCTTGCATAATGTGGGGTCCTGACCCTTCTGTTTCTGAGAGTTGGTCAACGTAGTGAATGAAAGTAAACTATAAAAAGTGAGCTCAATCAAAGAAATAAGAGAAACATCAACATAGTTCAGGTGACATATTTCAGTAAATTCATCTTAGTTATTTCCTCACGAGATTTATACCATAGCTTACCGTTATTATAAAAAACATGATGCATATTATCAAGAAATTATATTGCAAATTTTACAGCGAATTGAAATAGCTTATACTCCATCTCCTTCTATAATTTATTGTTTCCATCAAGTTATCTCTTAATCCGTTAGATCCTATATCCTTGCTTGTACCTAGTTTTGGCTTGTGGCGATGGAAAATATACCTTTTGTTTCCAGGGTGGAATCTCACACCCAAATGGTTAAAAAACCAAAAGCAGTTGAATGACTGCTGCATTGTATGAGCAAATTAGGGTTCACGAAAAAAAAGAGAAAAAAGGGAAAAAAAATTCTCCATGAAAATACATCTAAAAATATAATTGTGTTACTGTGACAAACCATTCTATACAAGTCATCTACTGCATGAATATTTTCCTTGGGCCAGGCTGATTAAAACAGTTTTTCTGTCTGGTTCATGTCATCACTACAAAATATTCCCTGTAAAAGTTTTCTCTGTGAATAAATCTTTTTTTTTTTTGCCCTTTTGGTCATTTAGCACCATAGTTCTCGTGTCTAATATTTTTATAACTTCAGTAACAAATAACGTTCTCTCTTTATTTCTCCAGGGCTCTGCAAGCCAATTTCCATCAACTGATTCCTTTGGGCCTACACAGGTACCCAACCCCAAGCTTCATGCGCAGTCAGCTTCCAGCACTGCAATAAATCTCCCAGAGAGGCCAGATCAGCCTGAATGCCAGTATTACATGAAAACTGGTATTTGCAAATACGGAACAACTTGCAAGTATCATCATCCGAAAGAGCGCTGGTCAGAAAGTCCACCTACTCTTGGACCCCTGGGGCTTCCTTTGAGACCAGTAAGTAGAAAATATCTTTTATGCGTTAACTGCACACTGGCCGTTGTGGTATGCTATTTTGAACTTACTACCTTTTGTAGTTTCATTTTCGCTGTTATTTTGAACTTACTACCTTTTGTAGTTTCATTTTCGCTGTTATACCCCTCGGTTAAATTCTTTTTTTCTTTTATCCTGGATGAAACTTTGGTAGATATTACCCTTGGGTGGAATTAGTGAATCTATCCAAAAAAAATTCATCCAAGGGTTCTATGTGCGAAAATGAAACTACATGCAAGTAAGTTCAAAACAGTGAGGGGTCTCTGATTATTTCTGACTTGAATCTCTGATTTTTCTCATTGTGTCGCGAAGGGTCATCCTGCCTGCACATCCTACAGCTTGTATGGAAGCTGCAGGTTTGGTGCAGCTTGCAAATACGATCACCCTCTGATGGGATTCTATAACTATGCCATGCCTACATACTCGGTTCCAGACCCATCGGCTCTTTTTCCTCCTAACCATAGTAATTCACCACAAGTGACATGGGCGTCAGCATCCGAGGCTTCTTTCTCCAAAACACTGAGGTTACCTGATCGACTCCAGAAATCTGATGAGAAAAACAACAAGGAAGCAAATGCCACCTCCCATGACAATAATGACCGTGTCAATGATCCACCTCCTACACAAAAGACATCACCATCAACAGATAACGCACCTTCTACAGATTCCACAGAGAATACACAAAATCACTCCGATTAATGATTCATTTCCTCATTTTCCATACGTTTCGGGGCTGTTTCCTGAATGGAAATTTTGGCGCTGCCTCTAGACCCATCCTTGTTTTTTGTCTGCGGCTAAATATATTTATTTGGTGCTAGATGGGCAGTTGAATGCAAGTTACATAGTTTTCTTGGGTTAGGCCGTCTCTTTATGTCTTTCGCGGTGAATAAATTGTCAGTCGCTGTTATATTATACATCAGATTTGTTTATGTTGCTTCTGAAAAGGATTCAAAACTTTTGAAGTGGATAATGTTATACATGGAGGCTTGTCGAAATAATGCGGTTAACTCTGGGAATCATCTCTTGTCGCTATAAGATTACAGTTCCAAGACGAATCGTCTATATTACTTTTGAATTATTATTTTTTCTTCTTCCTCTTTTGCTAATTTGGTGGGGTGTTTTCTGCCATGTATTTGTTCTTCAGATTATGGTAAATCTGAAAATGCGTGCCTGAACCGAGCGGTATGCATGCTCCTGGTCAGATTTTATCTCCCAACGGAGTGCTTTGAAATTATCTCCTAATGGTATCGTCGATTCTTCTGAAATTCAATCCATCACTTCTGCAGTTGAATTGCAATTTGATAACTCTCCAGCGTTGTAGTGATATTTTCCCAAGCACGATATGCTTAATTTTTCTAATTGTTACTGCTAACAGATACGGTAGTTGTTCAGATGACTCGTCTGAAAATGATACAGAAAATCCAGCAAGAAAAAGAACTAGATGCAGCCACAATTGCAACTACGTTACGAATCACGTTTGTAATCGTAGTTAGGAATTTCCAGCAAAGCGAACAGTCTGGAAGTTGTCATTATGACAGCCAATATATCAGCCCAAAGCAAGCATCTAACGATAACACACATAAGCATATTGATTTTCAGGAATTCACAACAAAATCTACAGATATTCGAGATAAAATGATATCTTCTGAAATTATATCACTAGGGAGTAAAATTACTATATGCCGATTTTAACGGTCGTCCACGAGATTTTGCGACATTGACTTGTGCTTAAACAACAAAATGTATCTGATGCTACCCACCAAATTCCATACACCCCATCTGCAAACCTGCACCTAACTCTTTGCAAAAGTACCAATATCACCTGTAAACGCCATTTACACAAAAAGAGGCTCAACCAACCACCCGAGTCTAACAAGGGACAAAAAATGAAGCCTTTTTAAACTTTTAAAGCAGACTTCAGCAAAAGAACATGGAGCTCCTCACATTCTTGTGGAGCCGAGGGAGCTCGGGAACAGGGGGAACCCCAGAAGCAGTGACGCCTGCGTGTCCAGAAGAGGTCTCTGAGATTTCCTCGAATTTGATGAACTGGGACACCTGCGCTGCTGCAAGATGTGCGTAGCAGATGGGAGCGACTGGAAAAATTAAAAGAATAAACCCCTCAGAATTTAATCATGCACTAGATAGCGTACAATAAAGGAGAAAGTTTGAAGGTTTGATTGCCTACCAGTGGAAATAGCAGTTGTGCTCCTCTGGTAGCTGCATCGATAAAAGCCAAAGGATATCGTTTAATCGTTTATTCTCTTTGGTATAATGATATATTGTATAGTGGAGACGCTGATAATGCTTACACGTAGGAAAGTGAATGAACAAGTTTCTGAAGATCATCAGGTGAGAAACCAATCTCATCAATCAGTACGTGGTAATGTGTGGGCCTCGAGGTTCCCTGTACAAAATAAATACAAGGTGTCGGTCCTCATAGTAACACATTTTCTCAGCAAACATTAGAAAATTAAGGGATGTGTATTTATAGTGACAAGTCAAATCATACGATCATTCCAGCTTGGGCACACATGTAGAAGTCATAGTGTCTGGGGTGGACAACCTTTGTATCCACAACAGTACCTGTAACCAAAAAAGAATCGTTAGCAACAAAATTGAGAACTCGATGTCATACTGCAGAGCTTAGACTTTAACCAGAAAGATACCAACATCAAAAAAAGGCTATACCTGCAGGAACATTTTCAGGGGCACCATCCTGAAATAATTTCGTATGGTGGTTCTTCTGTGCCACAATTAACGTAAATTTTGGAAGCGTTTTTTCACCTAAATGATAAAATGCCTGAGAAAAAAAAGTACTTTTAGGGGAAAACTTACTAAGTAAAGACACATAAATTTTGATTTATGTAAACTAAAAAGTGTCATACCTTACAAATCTGGTTCAACTCTATATTTAAAACTTGATTAAACTGTGACTCGCTCACACCATCCCTTAAAAAAAAACAAATGCATCCAGTGAAAAAGTTAAAACAACTATGTAGAAGAAACAAACATTTATAACAGGAGACACCTGAGCACGCTATAGCAGAACAGAAATATGGAAACCAGGTAAAGATAAATACAAATGATAGAATTTTAATAAGCAGCCAGTTGCATAAAATCAGCATGAATCTAGAACATGTCCCCAAAATGGAGATGTTTATTTTGTGATTATCATTTTTATACATGGACATGTTAGATGTCACCGTTTCAGCGTACCCTATCCCCCGATATACCATGTATTTCACATCATACTTTAGTTGTGCAATAAATGAATTCACATGATCAAATTGGTAACACCACATCATATGTACAACCTAAATGACTAATCGCCCGGCAGATCCAGAAAACCTTTGTTGGAGGGGCAGACGACAAGTACGTCTTTATCTGTTTATAAAAAAATTAAAATACTATAAAACCAAATTCTTAACAAATGAGCTAAACTCCTAATTTAAGTGGTAAAATTCAAATGGATTACAAGTTTGTAAGGGTTGGGATACAAATATTTTTAACTTATGGGGGAAAAGTGTAAGTCTAGAAGGCTTTAGGATACAATTTTCCATATCCTAGGGGTGTAACTGCCCCCCTATGTTCATACTTTAATCCGCACCAGCTCATAGCACTTGAAACATATGACCTAATTGCTTTTTATTAGCCTAAAGGAAAAATTACAAGTCGAACAAGCGTATTTGTTGCATTAAAAGGTAATTGAATAGAGGGGGATTGTCAGTAATTTACCATGGTGTAAACAGTCTGAACAAAATCCAATGACGCAGGGTCTCAAATTGCTTTATTGGCTTAATAGGGTACCGAAAAGGATTTGGATGGGCGTACAGGTTGGGTGATTATATGGTAACTTGCTGTCTACTACCAGGTCAAAGAAACTTACTTGACTACAGATAAAAGAAGAGATGATGAATGGTAGATCTTGATATTCATCTGGAAAACCCTCATGAAATTGGTTATCATACAATATGCCCTTGAAGCTTATTCTGAAGTCTCAAACGTAAAACCAAAACCAGTGCTATCAGTAACTTGCTCATGCGGACAAAATAGTGAAGAATGTGCAAGAGAACCATTTATATGCTGTTTCACATCAAGGACAGCTTGAACAGCAGCATTGAAGGTCCAAGAGAATTGCCTATGTTATTTCTGTATGTTCATTCAGACTATGGACAGGTAATCTAACCTTCCCCAAACAAAACAAGTTAAGCAAACAAGAAAAAAGATCATGAAATTCTACAACTTTGTCAAACAACCCAAAAACAGCTTCTGAGCTGGTTGATCTGAAGAGAAATTACATAAACATAATTATTGTAATATGTTGGTTTCAAAAAATAAACTACCTCATCAGTTATATAGAAATAGAGAAACTTCGTCTGACACGATGTTTTTTGACAATACCTAAATGAAACCAAATAAGTTGCCATAATTGAACAGATTATAGACGACTTACATCCTGTTTCTCTCTAAGCACCAAAAAATAGGAGCACTTTTAAAAGTAGGAAAACTAAAGGAAGAAATGATTTCTGAAAACTAGCAATTTTAGATGCAAAAACAATATACATTATTTGCAGGATGCTATCAAGTAAATGATCCTTTAAGAGCAAGCTAAACACTAGTATTTTTTATTTTTATTGCAACCCAGTCCGGATCAAACACTATTATTGTCATGTTGTGAACATATCTTTCAAAAACATAGGGATGCTAGAACCAAACAAGGCAAACATTATACTGTATTTTCACCAACTGTTTAACTGTCGTTAAAGGTTATCCTTTTCGCTAACAAAAACTCCTAATTTATGCAAGTTGAGATTTACATTTTTATACTCTAACGCAAAACCCGAACAATGAGTGCCCTTTCCATTGGTTGAAGGATATCCTTTAGGCTAACAAAAACTCCTAAGTTATGCAAGTTGAAATTTATACTTGTCTACTCTAACACAAACCCCGGGCAATAAGTGCTCTTTCCATGGGTTTAAACATGAAATTGTTAACCTGACTCACAAAACTTTTATCTTTTTTATCAACTTAATATCCATGGCTGGTGGGATTTGAGCCTAGGTTGCTCTGCGACCAGGTTAAAGGATTCTTTAACTGCACCAAACCTTTGAAGCTATGGTGAGCCTTAAGTGACATTTTGTCCTTTAATAACTGTAAATAATTTAACCACCGAACAGGAAGGCTAATAACAATATGATACAGGGCCATGCCCAAACAAGATTGCAGCATTGACTTTACCTACCATATCTTAGAACAGATTGTCTGTGCAGTACTACGTAATTTGTAATTCACATGTTACCTGAAAATGATTACGTGTGCAGGTTTCCTTCCATGACTCGTTTCATAGAAATCCATCAAGAGTTCCCTGAAATTTCACAGCAATGAACATTAGACAAGGTATGTCAGAATGGTAACCATTCTAAAATCATTAGATTTTAAGACAGTAAACATATGTCCAAAGAACTTGAAATATAAACTTGGTACGATGATTTCTAGTTTATCTGGGGACAGTTGTTTTAAGAAAATGCAGAATTCACATAAATTAGCATCTGAAAACAGACCTGATAATACCATCATCTCCATTTGAGTGGGGTTTATACAGACAGTCAATCATTTCCAATTTTGGTGACTGTGATCTTACAGAAGCTCTGTATCTTGAAATCAATGGCCATTGCCTTGACCCAACCACCTATGAATTAACAGTAACGTAACTACAAACCCAAAAAAAAAGGGTGAAGAAGCAAAAAAAGAATGTTAGAGCCCAAGTACCGCTGCAATTGAAGGGATGTCGGCTCGGCCAGGAGAGCCATGTGACACATCCATTCCCAAAATTAAAGTAGGAATCTCAGTGACTAATGGTATGCGTAGAGAGCGCTCAACAGCCAATACAGAGTTAATACCGCCAAGCTGGAAGAAGAGAATTATTAAGTAAACAGAAATCTGTGAAAAGAATCAAAAATAGGAAGGCAACATATCGAACGGTGGGAAGATTTGTACTACATTGTAAGTAAGAAGGTGGATTAAGTCATAAGAGTTGCAGACCTTGGAATTGATCTTCAGAAGTACATTTGTCAAATATTGGTCATTGATCTTAGTTGGAGCTATACACTGGGTAACAATTCCCATATCAGCAAGATTTTTCCTCTTCCAGGGTCCTGAAAATAGAAAAATGATTGTAATTAACATGGAAAGAAGCTCAAAATGCATTCAGAAATTAGCGAGAAGAAACTGTCACACACCATAGACATCAGAATTTTTTTTCTCGGAAAGAACACATAGAAGAAACTGTGGGGGACCAGGGAGGCTCGCCATCACCTTTTCAAACACCTTTTCAACTCTTACAAATGGTTGTAACCTCATACATCGGCGGTCCTCATCAATTAAGGCGTGTGGACGGTTGATGTTCTACAGAAGGCAGTATATACTGTCAATGTTCGCATACTCAGGAAAAAAAAGTAAACAATGCAATAATAAAACCTACAATTCCTTTTCTCATTCCGCAGTTTATAAGCTCTCGAGACAGATGACTCATATCACAACGTGCAGAAAAGTTCACAATAGCCCAGCGCTCAATGTTGGTGGGCTCACAGAGAGTCTAAGGATGTGAGAGGAAGTGTGAGAACCACATAAACAAAAATAGATAACATACAACAGAGCTGCAAAAAACAACCTTGTTGTTGAAGTTCCATCTTCCGTTGCGTGGTACACAGTCTTCTTCATTGCCAACTTTTAACTGTGATTAGATAACCTCATGAAATTAATAATGTTTATACAGATCACAGCTACACTCAAAAATAAAAACGCATAAAATAAAGGGACTAGAAGTACCGTGGGTGCGGTAAGAACACGGCCATCCAACCGTATTAGTTGCTTGTCAATGGATATTCCACATGAAGAGAGCATTGATTCTTCATCATATCGATTGTTTCTCACTGCCTGGTGTAGAAGAAACTCTAAGCGTCTTTGTAATGTGAAGTGTCAGCTCATTTAGCGGCTTTTTTAGCATATTATCCCCTAAAGGGAACAATATCAGATAAAAGATCTGATTGTTTATCACTTCATTTCAACTGATAAAATGAAAAGGAATTATATTTATGGACTCAAGGAAAGTTCATGAACTATTATCAACAGGTCTTATATTATGAGATGTGTGCCACAAAATCTAAAAAAGGTGAGGGACAAATAAAGGTAATGCTAAAAGAAGAATAACTCACATCAGTCACCACTCTAATTCTTTCAAGAGGTTTCTGTCGTGATTTCTCAACTAAGGAAGCTCTTTGTTGGGAAGATAATGCCTTTGTATACCGTTGCAATGGCACAAGATTGCAGAGCTGCATTATTAATTAATGATAAACCAATTAGAACAAGAGAAGATCATTTTTGAATGGAGAAGATCATTTTGAATTAAGGAAGTAGCAACCAATATCAATTTCCATAACCTCGACAGGAAGGTAGTTGGGCCTCTTTGGCTTGCCCACATCAAGACATGGTGCATAAGCTGACCATGTCAGCTCTATCTTCTTGTCCCTACTAAAGTAATCAAATACTGTGACATTAATTGTCCGCCCTTCTTCCCTGCCATTTCTCACTTTCATTGGGAATCTGCATGTAAGAGATTGTACAATATTAACTTGTATAAGGCCTCCAGAGAACTCAACATGTTGGACAGCAAGGAAGAAACGAAATAAATAGTGGTATTGAGAAGGCAGCGAAAAGGGATATGTGTTGCTTCATGGTGAAGCACATACAGTTGCTGGTTGCATGGCAGTTCACTCATCCCTATGATTTTAAATTCCATATTGCTATGTGTTGTTCTGATCCTCATATTTTTAAGCATTCTCTTAGCCTGTGCCATAGTAGACAATGATTGATAAGAAGCTCTAATCACTGAAACATGGCCTACATAGAGAAGTGCCTCATGGCTGACAAGCGCAATATGTAAAAACATAGAAAAACTCATACCTTTGCCCAGTCAATTTGATGTGGTTCCCTTACATTCTGGTTCTCACGTAGAAAGTTAACAACAGGGCCAGGAGTCATAATCATCGTAGTGGAAACATCTGGAAAAAAAAGTAATCAAACAAGGCGAAACCAGAAATGTAAACAATCTCAACAAAATGAACTTGAAAAAGAAAAAGGAACTACAAGTTATACCCATGTTCAGTGAGAGACCACCATTAGTGGTGCAAAAACTAGAATGGAAACCCCGGCAACCAGTTACTCCACCACCCAAGTTTGTATAGTTAGTATGTTCACCACTGAAGAAAGATTGTCTAACAAGAAGGCAACCCCTATAACCAGGTAAATGAACATTAATAAACTGGAGGATATAGGCAACTAAGTTAAAAATGACTGATTATGACTTGCAGTCACAGATGCACCTTTTTGCCTGTTGTTGTCTTAAAATGATGTCGAGTACTCTTAGAGCATCTTGGGTATGTTCAGCATCCCTTCCTTGGATTGCTTCTGCAATAGATTTCATTGGGATTCTTGCAGCATAGCTTATCTCAACCTTAAACGTTTTTGCCTGGTGGGACCGTTTTGATCGCTTCCTGTCACCTTCACTGGGGCTCCCGTGTGCTGGGCTTCCTCCGGCAACCCTGCAGAAAAGTGAAAAGAAGCTAAGAAATGAAAAGGCTAAGAAACGAAGGCAAAATATCACATGAAGCATTATGGTCCTGCAAAAACAATGGAAATTGAAGTTTAAAAAGAAAAAAAAAAGATGAAATCGTGTACCTAGCAGATGATTCTTCCAATAGTACAGTGAATTCGAAGTTGTTATGAGGGAGGGCACCAACTGTGAATAAGCTCTTCTCACCATCATAAGCGAAATTCTTCCCCGCAAGCTCAGAACTGTATGTTTGATACAGCTTGTCCATAACCTTCCTTCCTATCCCTTTCCCCTCAACAGCACGCTTATCATCTGACTTTATAGTAACCTGCTCAGACGTGGGGGCAAAAAACAAATATCATTACGGTAAAAATGATTAGATCTTAACAATAGCATGATGCAGCGGAGAAAAAATGTTTCATACGCTGTAGTGATAAAACACAGCTTCGTGAGCACTGAACTTGACGGCAAAATGATTGGAAAGCAACTTTAATCTCCGTCCATCGGTTCCAACGCCAGGCCTGACCATTGGATGTCGTTTTGGGGGCTCCGGCATGACAGGAATTTTAGGTTGATCAGCCTTTGTGGGCACCGCGTTTGGTGGTACGACTGGAGGAGGTGGGGGCAAGCTTTCTCGCCGAGGTCCATCCTCTGGTGAAGCCATTCTGCCAAATTTCCAGCAAACCCGCAAGATATTCCATTATAAATACAGTTAACTAATACAATATCTAAATAGATAGAAAAGAAATAAAAATAATAAAACTCAGAGATAAATGAAGCTAGATGAAAGGTAGAGCCGTTTCCAAAGAAAACTCGAACACACCAAAATGGAGTCACATTTAGACAAAAAGAGTAAAACACTACTATTCTATGATTGAAACAATAAACAAAAGTAATGTATAACTACTCTATCCACAAGGTAGAGAAAGAGAAATTGGACAAAGTGAGATAAAAAAATTAATTTGCTCAAGCAGAGTTGTTTCTCAAGGTTTTCTCCCATATCCCTTTTAAGAGAACTCAAAGATCAATTTAGGGCGCAACAAAAGAACAAGCACAAACAAAAAATCCAAGAAACCTTGTAAATGTCAAGTAAATAGTGCTGACACTTCAATATGCTTTTTTAATTACTGAGGCCATCAGCATCATATTTTTCTCTTTTATCCAGAAAACATAAAATAAATAAATGCTAATGACCTTAGTAATTGAAGAAAACTTTCAGGGATCGTCGCAAAACTGAACAGAGCAAAGTGATACCTATAATAATATTAGACTGTGGCTAGGTAGCACAAAACAGAGTACGAGTAAATCAATTCGTGTGTCTATATATTTATATAGATAGCACAAAACAGAGTACAATTAAATCAATTTGTGTGTGTGTGTGTATATATATATATATATATATATATATATAATATATATATAGAGAGAGAGAGAGAGATGGGTATGCTTGGTACCAATCACAAATTTTGTGTTTAGTAGTGAGGTGGCACAATCCCCTCCACTCATTCAAATGGGAGACCACATTCACATGGGTTGAGAAGTGCATGGGGATATACAATCATTTGAATGAGTGGAGGGGATTATGTCACCTCACTACCAAACATAACTTTTTGTGCTTGGTACCAATGATACTCATTTTTCTCATATATATATAGTAAGAGAGATTAATGGGTATCCTTGATAATGAGGGGATTCCCTCCTTGATAATGATGTGACACAATCCCCACCACGTGAATCCTTGATAATGATGTGGCACAGCCCCCACAATGTGAAATTCTCTCTCCTACTTTATTTTCTCTCCTTCACATGGTGGAGATTGTGCCACATTATTGAAAGGAGGAAGATTCTCTCCTTGTCAATGATACTCATTAATCTCTATATACAATGAACATCATAATCATAACACTCGCATAACTTCATAAATATCCATTCCAGTGTATTATCCGGTGAATAAATATAAAATAATAATAATAACAGGACAATAACAGAAAAAATAAGTTGAACTTAACAAAACAAACAAATAAATAAAGAAGGGAAACGAAGACATCGGACGCTTCGGAGCTAAAAAACAAATATTAAGCCCTGTATTTGAGAAAAAAAATTAGGTAAATTTTTCATAGAAACCAGCTAAAAATCTCAAAAAGTATTAGTTTCCATATGGAAGGCATAAAAAAGTTTCTAAAAAAATCCACTCATTTTCTCAAAAATTAGACCTAAAAATAGAAAATATAGAAGGAAAAAAAAACCACTCCAGACGTGCTCAGAAATTAAACCGTGTAATCGCCCAAATAACGTCTAAGAACATAGAAATTTGATAGAACTTCGATATTTCGCGAGAATTCATCTAGAAAACACAATGCATGTAGATTCTCAGTGATCGACCGTAAATCCACTAAAATAGCGGTCGATTACTCAACCGGAAACTCAAAACACAGAAAAAATAGAAAATCTCAACAAAAATCCTTAACACTAACGAACATCAAGAAGTCGAGCAGATAATCTGAGAAACTTCAAGATCACTCAAAAAATCTTAAGAAAATCGCCATTAAATCAGTAAGACGAACGCATCCACAGCATTGACCGCATATCAAAAGAAAAACAACAATAATCACCAGATTCACCGTAAAACCCCTAAAAATCGCCTAACGAGGCGCAGATTTTACATAAAACCTAGAAAAAGCTTGAATCGGCAGATCAAGAACGAAGTATTACCGAGATCGCGCCGAATCGAAGGAAGTCCAGGTCGACGAAGCTTCGAGAAGCTAGGGTTTCGATATCCTCTCTGCTTGGGTCGCTCTCGATCTCTCTACTCCTCCTGGTCTAAAAATTTTGGGGGGAGAGAGAAGAAAGGGAGGGAAACGAGAGAGCGCCCTGCAGAGGATGGGGACGTTTGTTTATATAGCGAGCAATGAGGAGTTGGTCTCCTTTAACAATTGTTTTTTTATTATTAAAAAAAATTAGGGTTTTATTAATTCTTCTATTTACATTTTGCAGCTAAATGAGGGTTTTGTCTGCTGGTTTTCTTTTGGGGTTAAGCACCAGCACCCCCCCCCCACCCCCACCCCCACCCCCACCCCACCAAAAAAAACTTCGCTGCAAGCATATCTATTATTTCAGCTGGCCCCACTATGTGTTTGAGGACGCTGAAGCGGACATTTTTTTTTGGCTATACTAATTCCGGTTTTAACTGCTGTAATATTTTTTAAAATTTTTAAGCTGCTATAATTTTCTGTCTCTGCTACAATATTCCCGTGTGCTACAGTAATATTTTTTAAAAAAATGCACAGTGCACATTTTCATGTGTGTCTTTCATGTTTGTTGCAGTAATAACGCTACAGTACTACCACTGTAGCATTTTCTTTTGCTGTAGCATGGATAGTGAATCTTGGATTCTCCCATTTATATAGATGAGTAGATACATACTAAAAAAATTATCCTATAATTAAATTTGTCTAATTGACAGTTGAAAACCGTTTATGATACTAATTACGGTTAATCCTGAATTATTATGCTAAACTAATTATTTTAAGGTTTTTTCTTTCCTAAATGAACCTAATTAATTATTTCTAAGCTAATTTTAGGTTTAAAATTTACAGAATACAATAATAAAGGAACTTGATATATAATTGAATTTAGTGAAAAACTAGACAGAAAATATTCAAGATGATTGATTCCTACAAATAAGAGTAGGGGTGATAAACGATCGAATTGAATCGAATACTAAGGTGTTCGTATTTGTAATTGTTTAAAATTATCGAATTCGAATGCAGACTTTAGTAATCATATATCTAGTCTTTCGAATTCAAACTCGTATGCTTGGTATTTGATAAATATTCATGAATACTTATTGAATATCAAAGTATATTTATTCAGCTAAAGAATTTGATTTCAAATAGTATTAAAATTCACAAATAAAAATTATTCCTTTATAATATATGGTGTATATTTATTTAAATTAAAATTAAATTAGAAACTATATTTAATATTATTTAAGTCTTAAAATCAGTATATAAAAATTAAGTAGAAATAATAAGTGAGTCAAAAATAAAACATTATATGTATAATAATACAAATAATAAGTTGCGATTAAAATTCAAACGAATATTTAACACACAAACGAATCGAATATATATCTAGTTAAATTCTATTCGTTAGTAAACTCGAATACTAAAAAAAATTTGTTTAGTGGTGAATTAACTACCGAACCGAATTTGATCGAATAGTTATTCGAACAATTATCGAACTATTTGTTAATTATTTGGTTTATTTCAGAGTCACGCTTGTGTCCACGTGTCAAGCATTCATTGGACTCCACGCTGTTCGTACCCGATACTGTCTAAAGGGGAAGCAAACGCCGCGACCCTCTCTCTGCAACGGAAGCGAATGCGGAAAACTGACTGGGGATCGGGTGGGGCCCACGAAATTAGTCCGTAACCTCGGGTGGGGACCCACGTACAAACCCATCGGACGGCCAGAGATTAAAAAAGGAGGCCCATCGTGCGGTGGAGATTGAATTATCAGGTTAAACGTACAGCTGCAACTCTTGCTTTGAATTTTTTTACGGTGACGGTCGGTAATAAAGATGTAATCATCGTCCTCATTTAATAATTTGGATAGGGGAATATTTCTGTTCGGTGAAAAATGGACGGTCGAGATTGATTTTGATTGGAGTTTTCGATTCATTAGAAGTCGTTATCACGGGGGAAGTCGTAGGTGCGGTACGCTTCAATTTGAAATCATTGTTAATCTGTGTGCTTTTAATGACCCATGATCTCAATTTGAGTTTAAAAGGTATTTAAGAAACCATGAAACTGATAAATTTATTTATTTATCAAAATTACAACTTATAACCATTTTATTATATATTAATAACTAATTAAATGCTTATTTGCTCAGGAAAAGTACATATGCGCAATATTATTCAGAATAATACACTAACAAATAGGAGAATTTTAACATGTCGTTCGGAAAAGTATGCATGATTTATATATTAATAACTAATTAAGTTTTTTTTTTTTGTTCACTCCTGTTTAACAATGCGGTTCTGGATTCTGATTGAGCACGTGATATATATAAGCTGGTTTAGATTATAGAAATTTTTTTATTTTTATTTTCGTGTGCTTAACTCGTCTCTCCTAAAATCGTCCCCCGTGGGCCTGGACGTTTTGTCGCGTAGTTTTGTGGGGCCCAGGAGGTTGCGGGCAACGGTTACTGATCAAAGCGGCAGAGCGCATCGTACGGACGAGGTCGAATGCAGAAATGAACTCAGCTTGCTTTCCATTTTTCGTTTGCGGGGGCTCCCACATGGGGAGATTGGGGAAGGTGGCCGTAATCATCATTATTTTTTTTTTTTTTGACGAAATTAAATGTTTGAAAATTATTCGATATTGACGGCTGACAGAAACGTATAATTTCGTAAGGAAGGCTCTGATCCATCGGGATTATTGAGAACTCCAAAAAAGGAAAGTTAATTGACGGACAAGCCGCAGATACTTTTATTGGGGAACAGTAGCTTGCATAAATACGTCAGCGTTTTGCAAAATTTTCCAAGATTACCGATTTTTTATTATTATTTATTTATGCAGGTTAGTTGCGGAACTTCAATTGGTGCGGCTGGACTATCATGGTCAGAGCCGGAGCCGGCCCTAGGGGTAGGCGGGAGAGGCCTTCGTCTAAGGCCTCAAAAAATAGGGGCTCCAATGTAATACTTCTATACTCTTAGATAGATATAGATATGAAAAAGTAAGAGGACTTTTGTGCAAAATTGTTAGAGGGTTCTAATAGCATAATTCCAATTCCTACAAATACACAAAAGTAACAAAACCCTAGGTCTCTCTGACCTCTCATCTTCTTCCCGACGGACCCGACCCGATTCCGTGACGGAGCTCCACCGTCGAAGTGTCGAACTCCACGGCGCCGCCTCCGGCGACTCCCTCCGCCCCTCCCACCAGCAAACGTGATCGGTGACCTCGCCGACTCTGTTTTTCGTCTACGCCTCCTCCGGCGACTGTGCGTAAACCTGGCCTGTTCACTTTAATGTAAATTATGTAATTGACTAATTGTGTAGCTAAGTAGCTTTGTAGGCTATAATGTGACTAATGTCCTACACTCCTACTGCAGTCTGCAGGATCCTAGTCCTACAACTTTTTTTTTGTCCTTTAGCTTCATAGATTTTTAAAGAAGGATAAAAGAAAGTTAAATAACCTAAATGGATATTCCTATAATCCTATGTCCAGTTTTGATATATTAACATCAAATTTGATTTATTTCAGAGCTTGTTACCATGGCCAAAAACTAGTTGATGCATGTTACCATTCAATTATATGATTTATTTCAGAGCTTGTTAGTTGTTTCATGCCCTAATATCATCTAATGATTGCATCGTATTCGTGTCCCAAAAAAAAAATCTTAAGTCCAAACTTTGTTTTTGTCTATTGAATAGGAACAAGAGATAAAAAGTGCATCGTTTAGGATTCAAGCGTGTTGATCTGAAATTTGTTTGAAGTGAAGCTATTCAAATTTCAAGGTAATTTTATAACTTCATAAATTATAATTTTTGTTGATATTATGTATTTTAGTATTTGTATATAATTTTTTGTTGATCTGAAATTTGCATTGTTGATTGATCATATTTTTTCAGCGTCCATCATGCTTCCTAGAAAGTATAGTTCTGGATATGCAAAAAGAAAAAAGAAACAAAAATTGGAAAAATTGGAAAAGTCTCAAGCAGGAGCGCTGGATAAGTTTTTTTAGTAGTAGACATACAGAGCATGATAACGAAGAACATAATAATGAAGAAAATCAAAATGAAGAACAGAAAAATGATATGAATATTGAAGAACCTACTGAACACAATATGAATATTGAAGAACCTGCAGAAGATGATAGAAACATTGAGGAACCTACTCAACTTAGGATTGAGAGTATCAATGAAAACATGAATGTTGACGATCCAACAAATTGGGGTAATATTGATCAAAAATTAAGAGATCTTTTAGTAGAAAGAGGACCCAAAAGAGTTATTATTGATTTTCCTAAATATATTGAAGGCAGACATTTCTCTTCCGCTCATTACACTCGACAATGGTTAAATGGAGAGAAACATGATAGGAGATGGCTAATATATTCAACTTCTTTGAATGTAGTATTTTGCTTTTGTTGCAAATTATTTAGAAAATATGGAAATAAGAATCAAATGGGTTCTTTGGTTAATGAAGTATTTAAAAATTGGAAGAATCTTAGTCATAGACTTCAAAGTCATGAAGGGAGTAGTGAGCACATAAGTTGCATGAGAAGTTAGATTGAATTGGAAATGAGATTGCGTAGTATTGAAACAATTGATAAAAGTGTACAAGAAATATTAAACAAAGAGAGAGAACATTGGAGACAAGTATTATTAAGAATAGTTGCTGTTGTAAAAACACTTGCTAAAAATGGTTTAGCATTTCGTGGGGATAATGAGAAGATTTATCAAGAGAACAATGGAAATTTTTTAAGTTTAATTGAAATGATTGCCGAATTTGATCCGGTAATGAAAGAGCATATTCGACGTTATCAAAGTGGTGAATCTCATAAGCATTATCTCAGTCATAAAATTCAAAATGAACTGATAGGAATGTTAGCGGGAGAGATTAAACATACAATGATCAAAATAATTAAAGAAGCAAAATATTTTGCTGTTATACTAGATTGTACTCCAGATATAAGCCATGAAGAACAAATGACTCTTATAATAAGATGTGTGGATGTTTCAGAAAGTCCAGTAAAGGTAGAAGAGTTCTTTCTAGAATTTCTTAAGGTCGACGATACGTCAGGACTAGGACTTTTTAGCGAACTTGAAGATGTATTGAAGATTCTGGAACTTGACATTTCTAATGTAAGAGGACAAGGGTATGACAATGGATCTAATATGAAAGGAAAAAATAAAGGTGTGCAGAAAAGACTCCTCGAAGTAAATCCTAGAGCATTCTATACTCCATGTGGTTGTCATAGTCTTAACCTCGCACTTTGTGATATGGCAAACTCTTGTCCGAAAGCTATATCTTTTTTTGGAGTGATACAACGTTTATATACTTTGTTTTCATCTTCTACTAAGCGGTGGGATATTTTCAAAGAACATGTTTCTGGTCTAACACTTAAGCCATTGTCACAAACACGGTGGGAAAGTCATGTTGAAAGTGTAAGAGCAGTAAGATTTCAAACTACAGAAATAAGAGATGCTTTAATTCACTTGGCAAGTATCGATGGAGATCCAAAAATAAAGAGTGAAGCTGAGTCCTTAGCAACAAATGAAATGGAGAATCTTGAGTTCTTATTGGGTATGATTGTTTGGCATAATTTATTATTTGCTGTTAATTCTGTTAGCAAGTTTTTGCAAAAGGAAGACATGCAAATTGATATTGCTATAGATCAATTGAATGGGCTAATATTATTTTTTGAAAAGTACAGAGAAAATGGATTTAATGAGGCCATTACTGAAGCTAAAAATGTTGCATCTGAAATGAAAATTAAAGCTGTATTTCGTGAAAAGCGTATCATTCGCAGGAAGAGACAATTTGATGAAAGTGGTACCGAAGAGACAATATTATCTCCTGAAGAATCATTTAGAGTTAAATACTTTCTATATATAGTGGATCAAGCTATTTCTTCTCTTAAGAGTAGGTTTGAACAATTTCGGCATTATGAAGAAGTCTTTGGGTTTTTATTTGATTTGAAGAAATTCAGCATTGTTGATGATGCTAGTTTGAAGGCTTATTGTGCGAAACTTGAAGAATCTTTAAAGCATGACAGTCATTTTGATATTGATGGCGAAGATTTATTTTTAGAGTTGAAACTTTTGAGAGAAAACTTACCAAAAGAAACAAAAAAAGCAATTGACGTGCTGAATTATTTGAAGAAATTGGATGGTGCTTTTTCGAATGCTTGGATTACTTACAGAATATTGTTGACCATACATGTTACTGTTGCCTCTGCAGAAAGAAGCTTTTCAAAGTTAAAATTGATCAAATCTTATCTTCGATCAACTATGTCACAAGAAAGATTGAATGGCTTAGCTTTATTGTCAATTGAGAAAAATATAGTGGAGAAACTTGATTATACAAGTTTAATTAATGATTTTGCATCTAAAAAATGCAAGAAGAGGCTTCATAAAGTGATACTTCTATTGGTTCATTGATCTTGTTTTGGGAATGAGAGTGTTAGGGTGTGATTTGTAGGCCTTTGGCTAGGGTGGGTAGCTTTGAAAAACTACATTGTGTTTGATCCTAGAGGTTAGTTATAACATCTCTTGGTATGTAGGCGGCACTAAAGTTACTTGGGTGCAACACTTTATTTAAAAAAAATCTTGAATAAATGCGATGTTAGCAGTCAAACTCGCTTAGCGCAGTAAGTTGTTCGGCTTAAGGGGGTGTTTGTTTGCATGCAAGTGAAGGATGAAAGTGAGAAAGTTACTTTCATTTAACAATTAAGATGTTTGTTTTCATGTAAGTGGTTATGAAAGTGAGATGTAAGAAAGTTGCCACATAAGATTTATTGCAAGTGAAAGATGAAATTAAATTAGTTATATTTTTGTCACATGAAAGTGACAAAAATATAACTAATTTAATTAAATAATTTTAATTATATTTTCTAATTAATCTTATTTTGCCACGTCATCTTCACATTGCACTTTCGATAATAATTTAATTTTTCAAACAAACATTGTATTTCACTTGCGTGCTGATATTGATGTAAAATTCATTTGCAAAAAAAAGTAACTTGCATATTTTAAATCCATTTTCAGATTGCCAAACACCCCCTAAACCAAAGCCAAAATTAGCTGGTCAACATTGGTAACTTGTTGCGGTCGGTAGGTACTGGGGCTAAAATAAAGCGAACGGGCACGCACGCAGGCGAAGATCAAATGAGCAGGTTAATTGGACAACTGTAACTCTCCTAATTTTTGGTGGTCCCATTGAGTACGAGGCAATCATTTTCTACATTTAATGAGTAGCGAAAATTGCACTATTCTTTCTGTACAATAAAATAGGAAAGCTAGGGCCTATTTTCTATCAAGAAAGGCACCATCTTTCTTCCTTGTAATCCAAAATTATAGTTTGGCAAATTGCCAAATAGCAGTAGAGCTATTATTATTAGTTTTGTAATTTTTTTAAATGGACGGCTGAGATTGATTCTGATGAGAATTTGAGGTTAGGTTGGAGGCCGAGAAGTTCAAACCAGTTTGATGTTGCTTTTATTAGAGTTCTTCTACTTATTTAAAAAAAAAATCAACCAATAATGATGTTTGGTGACATTTTTTTAACATGCTTACTGAAAGTGTTTATGCTTTTAAAGGGATGCTTTTAAAAGCAACTTGATGATTTTTTTTTTTAATAAATAGTGCCTTTTGAGTATAAATACTATGTATACTTTTTATCTTTTAACAATGATCGATAAACACATCTCTACCAGCACCTTGATTGCTTTTTAAGCATTTTTAATATCTGATTATCAAACTGTTATTTTCAGCAATTTATATAAGTTGCTTATAAGCAACTTATTATGAGCTCCAGCTATACCAAATTGGCCCTTAGTCACGTGCATCATTGAAAGACTTAGGTGCAGTAGTTTCAACTTCAACTAACAGTTTTAGGGCGAAAACAAGAAGACGAACACGCTACCATGAAAATTCATCAGTATTATTAACCTATGTGATTTTAATGACTAATAATATTTAATAAAATAGTTAAGAAAGTGATAAATTAATTAATTGTTTGTCAAAGTTTAAAAAAATCTAAACATTTCATTACGTCATTAGTAAACAGTTAAACACTTATTTGTTTTAACTAAAAGTACATACAACTAATATTATTCAAAATTAGACAGATAAAAAAAGTATAATTTCAACACGAACGCCTCAAGAACCTTACATAAATTATTTCAGAAAGGAGAAGAAATGTATAAGTTCGTTTCTTAAATCTTCGTGGGGCGAGAAATGGTTACATTCATATCCGCTTCAAAAACATCTAATTTGTACAATCTACAGG